TCTTTCCCTCCTCTCTCAGTGCCCGCAATTCAACTCTCAGCTGCATGCACAGAGACCCCTGTGCTTGGCCTGAAACATAATCACACTGGCCACACGGAGGATGGACTGCTGGGGTCTCCATTTCACTTCTTTAACCCAGCACAATCCCCAATCCCTCCCCCTTTCCTTCCCGTTCCCCAAGGGACTCTATTATACCCCCCGATCTGTTCACACTCCTTATCCCTCTGCGTGTTTGCACACACTGCTGACCCAGCCTTTATCTGGAAGACATAAGGGTCTCTGTGTGGAGTTCCCACAAGGGCTATTAATCGTGTAGATGTCAGAGTCCCCCGGCTCCAAACCCTCCCTTCCTGCTCCTCCCCTCTTCTTCCCTCCCCCCGCCCTTTTTGTGCTCTCTGGAGATTGAGGGGAAAAAAAGTTGTATGAAAATTCACACACAGAACTTGCAAACTTTGCAAAATATGATCTGCTCCCCTGGGCAAGGTTGGTAAATGGTGTGATTTCTCCTAAAACACCAAATACAAACATACACACACACTGCTTCCTCCTAGGCAAATGGAGGAATTTCCTCCAACAGAAAACAGAGCGCTAAATGCCTTGCCAAGTTAGGGAAAGTTTGGGCTCCTGGTCCCAACCTGAATGGAAACCCTCCAGCTGATACCTCTACAACAGGCCAAATGGCATATCTGCAAATCCATGGGAATGTGGGAATCTGCAGAACTCAATTTAAGTCTCAGATTCTTGTGAACATGGTCCCAGAGAAGAGGTGCATCCACATTGCCACCTTTCAACACCCTCATCCCCAGCACTGCCATCTCCTTCCCCAAGGTAAACAAAAACCTGTGCCACCAGGCTGACTCGCCATGCACTGGCTCTAGTCCTTACCTGAACTCGGGCTTCGGTGAGCTTGGTTCTCTGAGCTAGCTCCTCTCGTGTGTAGATGTCTGGGTAGTGGGTTCTCTCGAAGGCCTTCTCCAGCTCCTCCAGCTGCTCAGCGGTGAAAGTGGTTCGACTGCGGCGTTGCTTGCGCTTCAGAGGCAGGTCTGGTTCAGATTCGACGTCAGAGCCTTCATCCAGCCTGTTACCTGGGGTGGGAAAGAAGTGGGAGATGAGGCTTGCATGGTTAAAAAGCCATTGGGAGAAAGGCTGTAGGAAGAGTTAAGCAGCCTGGCAAAGTAATCTGAGTTCTACTGCAATGGTGTCCATGGAAACAAATACTCTGTCCGTGTACATGTACCACTTTTATGCTATTTCTGTAGTTTCCTACTATTATTTTTTCCCACATTCTAAAAGACAACCTATGAAAATCAGAACTGTTTGCAGGAAAGGTATGGTTCAAAGTCCACTATTCAAACTGCTGTAGTGAAAGAACTTGCAGTTGTTGACTAATTTCAAGAAATTACCATTTTTAATTAGAAATGACTGTGTTTCAGTTGCACATTTTACACTGAAAAAATGTAGAAGCTGAAATGAGCGCATAAAAAAAATTCAACATGCGATGCTTTGACTTGCACAGCCTAATTTCCTCTTGTGTTTTGTCAAGTATCAGTGTTTGAGATTTAATTTTTTTAAAAAAAGCTCAGGAAGAAAAAAAGAAATATTACAAATGTTTTAAAGCTGGGAAAAACCTTTCCAACTCCACTTTGCCTCTGAGTTGGGCTGCCCACAGGTTCTTCTTCTCTTAACTTCCTAAATTTCAGCAGAAGTTTTGCACAAGGCCAGACTCCTACAGCATTAAGATGCCACAAAAATCCTTTACCGGTGTCTAATTGGTCACTTAATTCCTCCACCTTCACCTGTCCTGGACCTCTGCCTTTCCCTTCTGCCTGCCTTGAGCCCTGTACCACATCGATTGCCCCCTGAGGCCCTTATCAAACCCAAGTATAGCTGGAATAAGCAATCCCAATTTTGATCTTTTTTTTTCCTGGAGATGAAGCAGAAGGCACTGCATTGATATTCACCAAGTCCACAGTCAGACCCAGTGGATTTTAGAGGGGACACACAGAGAACAGTGTTACCTCTGACTTTAGTGTTTGCCAGAGGCCTCTCACGGAGCAAAGCCTGAATTTCAAAGATGTGCGATGTGCAGGTTATTGGTTCCCTGTGGTGCAGATGTTGATGTATGGAGGATCTCAGCCAGGCCAAAACTTTTTTTCTGCCTTTGGGACAGTGAAAAATGTGCCACTGGCTCATGGCAGCAGAGAAGGAAGAATACGCATGAAACCTTTCAGCTAGGTGAGAGATCTGGCCTCTGTCACCTTTTCCTTCTCCCATGTGAAAATAAGGAGACTCGTTAAATGTGCACTCATTTTTTTCTCTTCCAAGCTTGACTGCTGTCTTTCAGAATAACTGCACAGAGAGCCAGAATCTGCTTGAACACTGTGTCCACAGAGAAATGTTTTTTTCTTTTGAGTAAACCTTTGCTAATTTAGGATTAAAGCAAGACTTACATATGCTCATCTTGACGATAAAGTTCCCTAAAGTTACTACTAGTGTTATTCAGACCTCTCTTTTTGTTCAGCTTCTATACTATCATCATCCAAAAATCTGCCTTTTTCTTTTCAGAGCTGGGAACAGCAGCTGTGACTTCCCCAACAGCTGCTCGAGAGTGGCGGCAGTTTGAGGAGTATGAGGCAAATATCCCATCGGAGCTCACTTGTTTATACTGAGATCACCACAAAATGCCATTGCATTCAGCTTGCTGCAATACAAAAATGCTTTTATGTCTTGGGGCTTCACAGGGAGGATGCGGTGTCAGAACTCAGCTAACTACAGTTGTGCTGGAGTCAGAGAAACTGCTCCAGAGGAGAGGGTGGCTTGTTTGGGAGGCAAACACATCACCTTAAAAGGTTTTCCCTTCTTCTGCCTCTGGCTTACCAATACACGGGGTCTTTACGCATGTTCATCTTTTTAAATCAAGAACCCTTTATTTCTCACAGAAGTCAGTGAGAAATTCACTGTTGACTTCAGAGGAGCAGCATCTGTCCCACATTTTAAAGACAGTTTCATCGTACATAGCAGAAATTTGTTACTAAACTAGCTTTTTGGTTATGTCTATTTTCAGGGAAGGTCTAGAGTCTCAAGTGGTGTAAAAGGAACATCTGTACTTGCAAATAACCGCCCTCCACATCTGGGTCACAGATGATTCAGGGCAGGTAGAAGCACATCTGGACCTTGGAGTACTATGCTGTTGAAAAAGCACATCTGGAAACCTATAGCATACAGTAAATTTAAGTTAATCACTTAAGTCACCATCTATTATTGTGTTAATTAGCATCTTTTCTGGAAATACTTGATATGAAAAAGAATAAGGATGGAGATGTGTTGTCATCCAGGATGTGAGAGGGCCAGCGTGAGGAAGGAAAATATACTAAGTTAAATGTCATTTAACTCTGCAGCTGAACATATTTCTTTATAGTAAATATGCATTTCTGTATAATTAGTATGCACGCTTAGTAGCAACTTTCAGCCTGTGAGCTCTTTAGCACAGGAATTGTCATTTGTAGCATGTTTCATGCCTGCTGCAACAAAGCCCCAACCTGTTTGGCAAGTGCTATGGTGACAGCAATGTCAAAATTACTTTTTTCAGATCTAACTCTTCTTTTGGCCACTTGACAGCAATGCTGTAACAGCTACCTACAGCTCATCCACTTGCTTGGTCCAACTGCTTACATTGTATACAACAAACCTGGGATCCAGTATCTCCCCAAGCAAGGGGAAAAAAGTCTAGAAAAGGATCTGTAACATGTTTCATCTCCCATACTTAGCTTTGCTCCCTTTTTTTGCTGCAAAAGCCTAGAAGGGAAAACAGCCAAACTTTCTTCAATCGCTTTATGGTCCCAGCTAAGGATCCCTGATTTGGCCACAAAGTTTTGGGAGATGACAACTAATTGTCATGAATAACAATCTGTCCTGCTCACAGCAGCGCTGGCAGCCATACTGGCCATCGTGCTAGCTATAGGGTTAAAAGGTAGAGAGCCTAACCTCGCAATATAAACTGACATAATAATTTCTATTCACATGTCTCCAAACAGCTCCCGACTGGCATTATCTCCATTTTATAACCGTGGCAGGGACGGCGGAAGTCACCCACCTACGGTCACCCTGTGAGTCAGGAGCAAAGCTGGGAAAAGAAGCCACAGCTCCTCGTGCCAAGTCTGAGGCTCCAACAACCCAACTACAAAGATGAAACCAAGAGAGCAAGAAAAATCCCAGGCTGTGTCTGGAACCAGCTGGTCTTAGTATGAAGCAGCTGCTGCTGTCAGACACAGATTCATTAAATAATATAGAAAGTCTTTCAGCTGAGAAAGGCTGCGGTACCAGCCTATTATCTAATGCATCCCCTATTATCAGGGGACAGTCTCCCTTACCTGCCTAAAATGCAACTTGAGGATCTAACAGGTCATTTCCATTCCTAAACAGCTGAAACCTGCTGGACAAACCACTGCTCTAATCTCTGCAAAGTTTCTGTGCAATGAAGAGTCTTACAAAGCTGCAGGAGTAACTCAGGGAGACTCCCTCACTGGGCAAGTCCAGGAAGATTTATCCAAAACTTGAACACTTCATTTTTTTGCCACATATCCCTGTGTGAAAAATAGATGCATGGCACTGCCAGCAGCACAAGCAGGGGAAGAATCCCGGTTTTCAGCCTTCAGCACAACAGGGCTGTAGAAATAACCATTAGCATGCACTGGTAGCTTTTTACACATACTCACAGACAGCCATGAACACCCTATAAATACGAAGGTGGAGAAATATCTAGCAGCAGCTTCTTGTGTGGCTTACCAATCACTAGCTGTGATGAAGGATAGGAAACAGCTAACTGTCCAATACGCAGCTCCCCTAGGATATCATACTGGCTAAAGATTGACAGAAAAGAACAGAATGGGGAGGTGAATGGAGGGAAAAATCTCATAGGAGGACAAGTCAGAGAAAAGGAAAAATTAAGAGAAAAGAGTGTGTGTTACAGAACACACCCTGATCCCACTGTATTTTTATTTCTCACTGTATTTAGCTCCAAAAGAAAAAACCCAAACTGTTCAAATCTCTTTGCTTTGCAACACTGTTAGAAATAGAGAGGCTTCATTATGGGAATGAAAGCAAGGTTGCCAGTGTGAAAAATCCTAAGCTCTTCTCTCTGCTCAGGGAGGACCATTCAGGTGTACAGGCACCTTCTTGGCACAGAGATACAACATGGCTCACACAAGGGGGGAAAGACAACTGCGTGAAGGGACTTATTGACACTGGTCCACGCAAAGCCTCAAGTCCCACATCTTCAGGGAGGATGAGCTGGGGAAAACCAAATAAACCAAACAGTTCTTTCTTGCCATGGAAATGAGTGCAGGCAGAGCACGTCTGCAGGTGTGTACACAGGATGGCACAGGGAAGGTGACAACTATAAGCCTGGGCTTGTCCTGGAACCCATTCTAGCATGACAAAATGCGTAAATTATGGCCCACAAACTCGCATTCCTGAATAATGCTGCTGATCCAGGTTGGGGTACAATTAGCAAGAGCTGGGTAGCGCTCTCTGGAGGGGTTTGAAAGGAATAGAAGTAGACTGGAGCTCGAAGAAAGGAACAAGAAAAACCCTCCGTAATTATGGACTGGATGTGTCCTCCCTCTTCCCATTCCCTTCACTCCTCTATTTCCCTTCCTCCCCCTCAGCCTTTTTCCTCTCCACCTCCATTCACTGCTTCTGGGCGCCTCTTAGCCCTGGAGTTAAATTAATCAACAGGATTAGGTGGAATCGGCCACAACAAGACCCTCCAGGCTCAGACTGAGCCCTTGATGCTCTACAAGGACCTGCTGCCTTGTCTTGAAGCACCTTGGTGCCGTCTGGAAGGATTGGCAGACAGGACCAGACATGAAAACGCATTCATTAAAGTGGGGATCGGATTTTGTTAGAGGGTAAAGGGGAGCTGAACATTCTCTCCTTCAGTATTTCTCATCTCATTTCCTCTCTCTCTCTCTCTCTTGCTTCCAGCTGCACCATCCTAAAAATTAAATGTGTGTTGGAGGGGAGAGATGAAGATGGGGGGAGGGAATGGTTTTGTGAATGGCTTAGCTATAACTGCACCTTTTGT